CCTGAAAAAGTCATATTCTGATTGACTGTTAAGCTCATCTGCAAAATAATCACAAATGCCCATATTTTACCGAAATGTAAGCCCGGTGCTGGAGTTAGGCTTTTGCTCGATATCGCTGTTAACATATAGGAAGTTAGTGTGAGGTTTCAGTTTTCCTTTTGTTAAACGTGATTTTAGACCCACGGTCGGGTTTAATTGATTAGAAGCATATAGGATGTATCATTCACGTAATGATAAGAAAAAAAATCTCGGACTATTTTAAATTGTATAAATTACTTAAAAGAATATAGTAGGACTAGTAATATAAAGTATCATATGAATTAAACAAAATATCTAGAACCGACTTTTTAAAATCGCTTAATTTCATTTTTTTTTAAATGGAACGTACATAATTATACATGACTTGTATGCCTTTCGGCATAATCAATATAACCACGAAATCGATACAATTTTCGGGGTACATTATTTCTCCTCCTAGGCCTATATCGTTTTGTTTTATAAAAGAAATTTGGATGAAATAGTGGATTTTGTTGTGCTTTAGAGTCCTGTTGGGGCTATCGTATGACAGTGGGTCGTAACTTGGGGAGTCGTGACCATATGGGGAGGAGGAGGGTGTGGGGGGGGGGGCGAATGTGTAACGTCTTTGCATTATTGGCATCAAATTGAGTTGCAGTGACTACATTTTTAATAGTTTTTGGGCGGTAACGGGACCGACCGTCAAGGAATGGATATTAGAGCAAAAAGTTAAAGGATCGAGCCACTGCCCTATTCACGGTTTAATCAAGACGTGAAAAGTGTAATGATATACAAGGAGAGAGAGAGAGAGAGAGAGAGAGGGGGGGGGGGGGGGGGGATACGTGAAATAGATATCAGTGGTCAAAGTATTTTAAGAATCAACTTAAGTTTTGATTCTCTCAGTGTCAAAAGGTCGTAGATAGTTCCATGACCTCAGTAACCTCGATATTGGCGTCTCATCGTTGACTCTGCGGGTAAATAACATGACATACAGAACATATTGTTATCCCTAAAAATATATCATATCTTAAAGATCTAATTAATCTTCTTTCAATTCGGATAGAAAACCTATCACAGTTTGAAGACGGTACAATAATATACCATTTCAGTCTGAAGCTTTAAGTATCACTATTTCTTTTATTTAAACAAAATTGCTCTCCTCTATCTTGATTCTTCTTCTTTTTTTCCCTTTTTTTTTGTTACTATACAAATCTTTCATATAGACGGCGTTCCATGGTTTTCTCCTGTGTAATGTTAAAGCGATTCATTCTTTTATATATATGGTAGCATGACATCTTTACAATTAGACATGAATCATTCAAAAGGCAACCACGAATACCCTGTCCATGCATGTAACTCTGCATGGGTTGAATTACTGAATCCTCATCAAAAGAATAATGATAACAACAATTTAAATTTTGTATCAGCCTATAGTATAGATGTTTGCACGTTTAATACTGAAGTCTATTGAGTTGTCAGGAAATCACCATCTATAAATTTAAATAAAAACTGAAAACACATCTTTTTCATTAACTGTAAATCTAGGCATAGGAGCTCTTGTAGCGCAGTAGAATATAGTTTATACGCTCTATAAATGTATTATTATTATTATTATTATTATTATTGCCAGATATAAGATTGAAATTAGCATTTCAACACAGTATTTGGTACAATGCAGAGTAATATTATACAATAATGGTTTAAATAGTTAACACTCTAGATGAATGAAGGACACACATGAATGGTTAGTTATTGTTGACAGTAATTTACATGACGATTCTCACGGTGAGTGATGAGGATCAGGGGGTTGTTTCACAAAGATCCTAAGTTGGACTTAACTCTAAATTGGACTTAAATATTATGGAGAGCCATTTGTAGCCTTATGATGAAATAAATTCAAAAGCAAAATTCAAGTATTTTAGACTTTTCATAAATTCCACATCAAGAACATGAAATCTCCCAAGATAATAGAAAATAAGAATGATTTGAATCAATATTTTATGCCTTTTAAAATAATTTTTACAAAATATTTTCAATGATGCTAACGGCTTTCCATAACTGTTAAGTCCAACTTAAAGATAAGTTCGAATCAGGATCTTTGTGTAACACCCCCCAGGAGTGATAACCATGGAAGATGAAGTTAGTGTAAGAAAGACGTTAATCAAGGTGACGTGAAGAAGATGAATATCAAACACCTCGCGAAGTTACCGACCGTCCAGCGATCAATTCGTATCTTGATAAGATTTTCGAAGCTATTCTTAATTTAACATAATGTATCCACATTTTTCACAACTTTTATCAAAATGGTATAAACGGGCATTATAAAGGTAAAATTCAATAGTCTGCAATACAATTTATCACGTCTGCTCAAATGAGGTACTTTTTTCCTTTAAAAAAATGCCATCGATCTTTGATTTTGAAAGATAATCATGATAATTAGAAGTATTCTGAATTAGCAGTTCTGTTCACGGTATTGACGACTGTTATGGGTCGATCTGGATGAGTGTTTCGAGAGCGCGGAATAACGGGTGGCGGCGAAGGAGGGGTCCGTAATGGTTTAAAAACAGGACGGCCTCGGCGACCGTCGTAGAGATACGAGTAGACGCCATTTTTCGTGTGCGGTCGTGGTATGTGGTACGAGGATTGTGATTGGATGGATGAAGATCGTCCCGTTGCCGCGGTTACTGTGGAAGCTGGTATAAGAATGATGATGATGAGTGTGCATGGAGAGAAGGAAAAGTGAAAACAACAAACCCGAATGTTCGGTTAGTATAGTGATCATAGTGAGATGTGAAGCAATCATAACACGGTTGTTAAGACTTTCAAGAAACCAACTATAATGGGCAATTTCAATAAATCTTCCTAGGTATGGATTCTATCTCCAGGGCCTCGCTGCATACAATTTACCACTGATGATAACGTTGTCATCAAAATTTACTACCGCAGCAACCTCCAATCAAATCATGTTTTCCATGGAAGTAATACCATTCATGGCGAAGTTATACCATTAATGGCGAAGTTACCATGAATGCTAAGCTTTATGCAACGGAACCCTGATCAAGTAAATGTAATTGTAATTGTAATCATCACATTCTTCAATAAGCGCTGCATATTATAGCGATTCTTTCTTCATGATAACTGTTTGAAAGTATTTAAGATAATGTTTTTAATGCTGTTATTTTAATGCATGGATTAACTCAACAATTTATTAATGGTCCGGCCTCTTTTTTTAAATTTATATATATATATATATATATATATAACAATGGAAATATAAGCAACATGCACGAGTGGTCGAATGTATCACATGCAAGAAAGGAAGTAAGAAAATCTACTGAAATCTTATCACAGTCATTTGCAACTTCTTTTTTGTTCAAAGTGAATTTTTTTCTTCTTCGTGACACGTACTTCATGTTTGGATATATACAAATATATGCTAATAATTAGAGAGAGCTGGGAAGTATTATACAGACGGCAGGCTTGGAATGCCTATGCTTTGTCAAATGCGAATATTTTGGGGTTCCTTTGCTTTTTTTTTTTTTCTGAAACCATCATTAGTAGACAAGCAAACCAAAGAAAATAATTTATTTTAATAAAAAACACTACTCACGTTCCAAAGCCCATACTCATCATTTATACAAGAGAGAAAATTATTCCACTAACATACGTACCGTTATATATTTATAACGCATCCTCTCGTTACACAACTACGATAGAACAATTAACCTATTTATTCATTTTGGGGCACATATTTGAGAGAAAAAAGGAAAAGGGGGAAATTGTCCTTTAGAGAGATTACACTGAGACGAAGATTTTCTGACCCATCACAGTTAAACAAAATACTAATGCATGCAAGGTGGGTTCGATTAATAGAAATAGGGGGCCTGAAAACAGGTGAAAATTCATAGTACATCGTCAGTATATATTCTAAGCTTGGAACCAAGAAGGAAAGGAAAGAACTGTGCAGAACACTTTAAATGTTCCATGCGTCCTATTTTGTCAACTTTCCTAGTTATAGCCACAAATTAAAAGCAATGGTCCATTTTATATCACGTATTTCAATTTCAGTGAATCACACGTATGCTGATGTCATATCGAGGATATGTTCGAAAAGATATGAACATCCAACACTGACTAGATTAGATCAATCGCCTTCCTTATCCCGAGACACCATAACATGATGACAAAATGAATCATAGTATTATTTCACTCTCTTTGGGCGTGTTTAAGATTCTAAATTAATTTTTAAGTTATAGATATATCTGCGTCTTTACATTCTTGCAATGATGGAGGAGCTTGCCAGATAAAATAAGAGAAGGATTTATCGATTATAATTATTGAAAACGGTGCGCAAATAATGTGTCTGGTAATTTTGATTTACCATCTCCCCTCTTGATGTAAATATACCGGGTATATGCCCATCATTGTCTTGTTATATACGAACAATTATATTACTGAACTGCGGAAACACATATCACACAAAGCCAACACCACAACACAGCAAATAAGAGATAGAAATAGAGAAATTGGTTGTGGAGAAAGAGGGAGAAATGGCAATACAGAAGATAGAAAATAACGCAGGAAATTTTACCTGAATTCATCTGATTTATTCACAATGGAAGCATTTAGATACAAACAGAAATATCCATAAGCAAAATCAACCAGATATACAATATTCATATAAATCTACTGAAGCATTCTTAACTAAATAGATATTTGTTATATATCCTATCGAAGACTATATTTCGTGATTCAAATCGAATAATATTTGTTTGGAATTATCTAATTTCAATAATATATAAATGGTGACATAAAACATCAAACAATTTTGCTGTTCTGTAAATGCTCACAAATATCATTATTAATTCATTCAGCAAGATAACACAAATATAGCAGATCAAAAATATACTTTTTGTAACAAAAGAAAGATAAACTCGTGCTAACACATAGACTGAAAACAATCACACAAAAGCAAGTCAGAAGCATGCAACTTAAAGTTAAAAAACACCTTTAATTGCTCATTTTTTTTTAAATCGGAAGACAGTTTGCTGTTAATATTTCCGCACAACCCGTAAAAGAACGTACACATTATTTATTACATAGAAAGTTAAAGCAAGATTTTGAAAGATGAATAACTTTAATGTAAGATTCGGGAATCTATAATTTTTTATTTTGTTTAATGTCGCTTCGAATTTTGTTGTTGATTGCGTACAGTAACCATAATGAATTGGAAACTAAGTCTTCCTTGCATATTTCAATATCAAGGCCAGACCGTCATTTTCTTTCAGAGAGTAAGATCTATATACGAACATAAACTCTATGGTAAGGACATCATCTTTTCCTTTCTTCAAAAGATTGATAAACAAAGTTCTCGAAGGAAATTATTTAGTTCCTTTTTAAAATCAGGGAAGGAAGTATTAATGCCTAAAATGTCCAAGCTATATATTCACGGCAATATACACGTATTTAATTAACAATCTTTTGAAACTACACTTTGTGATTAATCTATATTTGCTGTTAATGAAGCCACATTTTGTATTTTGTTGTTAGATTGGCATAGAAAGCACAACATACATATTTACTGAAAGACAAATGATTCTCACATGAAAATGAAATATACTGATATTTAGTAGTATATACACCATTATTGGTTATGATTCGATACAATTCGTATAATTGAATGACTTTTTGTACATAAAGTACAAATATTATAGTTACTGAGATCATTTCCTTTCGTGTATAATCAATACACTAAATAATTTGTTCAATGAAAGAAAAAAGATTGCCGGAAGCTCTGAGATAAATAGCGGGATATAAAGCGGTTGGGTATTGAAGAAGTATCGATATTTCATATGAACGATCATCAAACTTCAGAATCAGATCGACAAACGTTTTCCGGAAAAAATTACCAAAAGAAAATTTTCAGTTCAAGTATCTGTGATTGTCCGAAGCGGGGAAACCCGGCACCCAATATACCCCAGTAAGAAGCATGGTATTGGTTAGTACATGTAATGATCTACACCCCTGCTTTTCCCGTCTGGAACCCTCTTGCCGCTGATAGCATTAGCATCCCTTGGACCACCCTGCCAAGGGTCTTCCTTGTTATACACGCCACCATTTACCTCCATTCCTCGGTCCGTGTACCCGTCACGATCTCTCTGGCTATGTCGAAGACCGTTCATCACCATGGGTTCGGGATGGGTGTTGCCGTTGTGGAGGGCGTGTTCGTGTTCGATGACGTAATCCTCGTTGGCGCCGACGCCATTATCCATTCTCGGGCTAGTGGTGGACATGAGCGGTCCCAGGAAGGCGTCCAGGACTCCATAGATCTTTCCAGAAAAGAGTAGAAAATTGGGAGCAAAATGAGGAATACAGTTTATTTTATCCCACTTCAGAAATAATGATTGCAACTTCATATCATACCGAATGATGCAAGATATCGGTTCAGAAGGAGCACTTAAAATGATGCCTGCCATCTAGGTTGTTAACTTTCCAGAACCTATGTCGGAGACGGAAATAGAACTGATTATCAGCTTGAGCGCTAGCTCCTTTATCATTAATATAGCGCAAAACCCCTCTATGTCTGCTTTATCAAACAAGGATTCATTGAGTGTTGGATGATTTGTTTGTTGGACAATATTCGTACAACTTTGTATTGTAGGCTTATAGCTGTTGGCTTGTCGCAAATTTATTTCCATATCCCTACCCCCCCCCCAAAAAAAAAAGAAAAGAAAGAAGAGAATCGAGAATTAAATTATTTGTTTTATTGTCGGCTTTCATTACCATGCCATGGTTCAACTACATTTGTTTCGATGTCATACAGTTCTTATGCTTGCAGTGCAATACACTATCAAATCAAATCAATCAAATCAAATGTGACCTACCAGATAAAATGCCACCACACTCCCTAGGATCCACCCTCCAATGACGTCACCCCAATGCGCTCTGTGAGCTGCGATCTGCTGTACACCAAGTAGGTAGGGTACCGCGATAAAACAAAGACCAGCGAAAGGGCGTAGGGTGTGAGCTGCATTTAGCTTCATCAGCATCGTGATGTACACCTGATGAACAAAACACAAGCAATGAGGTCGAATTATAATTAATATATTTTTTAATAAACCTAATAGGAGTACAATCAGATCTTATTGGGTAGGCAATGTCTGTACAACACAGCTAAAGTCCTTAGAAAGATCATTTCAAATTAATGCGCTTTAAAAAGTAAATGCTTAACCCTACCAATTCATATAATGCAATTTACTATAAATCATTCTCATCGGGATTGGAAAATACTTGTATACATGCAATGGCGGAGAATTTCAGGGGGTATTGGCATCATGGGGGGGGGGGGGGCTCAGATTAAAGGGTGGGGTCAATCGTCTTCGTCGACCTTTTCCCATTATCGTCATTGCTGGTTCATTGCCTCGGAAATACAAAAATGTTACAATCTAATCAATGATACCTATAAATTAATTTATGTATTTATTCTGTATCAATAATTGATTCCATTAGCTTTTTTAATAATATGAACAAGAAAGAGGTCGAGGTGATGCATGATGAAACTGATTAAGTCACCATCTTTATTTTTCATTTTCAATTTGGGTTTTAATTAAGGACAATGAATTGATGATCATAGGCTACCCTCATACATTCTATATTCGCTCTGCATTGCAATAATAGAATGAAAACTCTGTAGCAAGTAGGGACAAAAATGGGTTATTATACTCACGGCAACATAGACCGAGGCGTAGGCACTGAGAGAAGCATACAGGGACGGGAATGATTGCCTATAGAGAGAAAAACAACATTAAAAAGACTTGATGGAACATCACTGTACTGTAACAACTGATGACGTCATTCTGGTTCCAATACATCTACTATTCAGTTAATGCATGCTGGATAAAACAAGTGAATGTTTTACTAGATATAAATTAACGTCAGTATGTTAACGATGATTTCCAGTTTCCAAGATTTGACAAGAACTGCCCGTGAACTGCCCGTGAATGAATCAGGTGCCGAAAATTGGCGTGATATTATTATGGGAACGTCTATTCCATGTTAGTTTTGATAGTCTTTAATTGACATATTGAGCAATAAATCTTTAGAATTTCTGAAAATATTAAGAATAAATTGTTCTGTAAATATCCAGTAAACCTTTTGGAGCTGTAATGCATTTCATTTTTTGTACACCAATGGGTGTAATGATACCAAAGATATTGTAGTTTTAACGTGTACTTTATTATGATAGATATATAGTTTAAAAATATGTTTTTCTTCATTCATACGTAAAATAATTATAACTATCATCATCATCATTATTGGCATGGTAATAAAGTACTTTGTATTGATATGAAAATAATACTAAATTCTATCATCATCATCATCATTGTTGGCATGGTAATAAAGTACTTTGTATTGATACGAAATTAATACTAAAATTCATCATCATCATCATCATCATCATCATCATCATTATACCTCGCAGAGTCTATTATTGTAGTACAGTCACTGATTGTGAAGGTGCTTTCTGCAGCGTTAGAACATGGCGTACAGGTTGATCGGGTGAAGAAGTCTGGGGCAGGATGACTGAGTATTAGCTGACCAGCACGGGTTAAGATCCAAGTGATAAAAGCACCAAGCAGAAAGATACCTGGATGGAAAAGGGTTTTGTTTCATATCAGATGGGAGAAACGGAGTAGTTTTCATAGGAGGGTACAACAAAAGTTAGTATCATCATCATCACAGCTAATTATTATGGTTTTCATTTTTTTGATAGATAATTTTTTTTTTCTTGCCACGGATCCCATTCATAAACACTGTCATCAGTATTATCATCAGTATCTTTGATCGCTACCATAATCACAACAACCAACACCATTACCCCTAAATCACTATCCTCGATAAATTATTAAAGAAGTCACTATATCATCACCATCACCACTGTTACAATCACAACTATCTTCATCATCAACACCGCAGTTTTTTTGTTGTGTTATCATTTTTTCATCTTCAAATAATTATGTCTTCATCGTCGTCGTCATCTCAATCAACTTTGATCGTTACCATCCTCATTCTCCTATTTCTCCCCCCTTGGTGTTATTAACCTCTCTCCACCCCTTTCTCCTCTTCTCCGATCCTCTTCTTTGACACATCTTCCCCTCTCCTTCATCATCACTCTTTCTCTCCATCAATCAGCCCCTCCTCCTATCCTCTTACCTGTGAATCTGACCGTTCTCCGGAGGAGAGCATGTAACTTCATGCCGAATGTCATCACAGATTTCTCCATGAAGAGCTGCTTCTTACCGCCCTGAAGGTTATACAAACCCACAGCGGCTTCTCCGAATAACACCTAGAGAGAGAGAGAGAGAGAGAGAGAGGGAGGGAGAGAGAGAGAGAGAGAGAGAGAGAGAGAGAGAGAGAGAGAGAAATAGAGAAAGAGAGAGAGGAGAGAGAGAGAGAGAGAGAGAGAGAGAGAGAGAGAGAGAGAGATGCATTAATAAAGATTTACCACGTCACACAGTATAGTGTGATATACAAGGGCATTGTTTGATTACATGGACAGGAGACAATGGCAAGCGAAACAAAGGTACTACGCTTCCTCATTTTGGCATATCCAAATGACATTCATTACACAGCAACGGGAGACAGCTTCGTATATATCGGATGACGAATTTCTAGATGGTCTCTCACATCATACCACTCACTACACTCAGGCTTAAAATTCATTGACAACAAATGAATGGCAATACTTAGAATACATTCAATTTAGTTCTGTTTTGGGAGAAATGTGTTGAGGCTACTACCTACACACTAGCAATATTCCTCCCCAAATTAGTGCATTAAAAAGTCATTATTATCAAAAAGTGTTCTACGACTTTGGTTGTCATCTTTATATCATTTTGAGTCGTCATTAAATGCCATATTTAGTGTTGTTATAACACATTTATATTGAATGAATATGGTGACATTTTATTCTAACCAATGCTCTTTCAATGTTTAGAACTATACTAATTTCTTCAACAATTTACAGTCAATACAGTCTTTAATTAAGGGTATGGAAATGTTAATTTATACATGTGCGTACCTCATGCTGCTCCCAAATTAATTAAGACAATTCTTGATTCATCATTCATTTCTACGAAACAAATATTCGGGCAGCAAAGAGAGGTTGATATTTGTTTATTCAAATTAATGCAACAAGGTTGTTATATCAAAAAGCGGGTACCTTACCTTCACAATACATGAACGCCCTCATGATATTATATTTTATATACCAATTAACACCGTTCTCTGAATGCGCAGACGCAATTCTAGAATGGAGGGAACTGGGGATCTTAGCATTCATTTTCAACATAAAACAAAACGCCTCGATTAATTTTTATTTATGATCAATAACTGGGGTAGGCCTTGAGCCTACAAGCTTCCCTCTAGAATCGTTATAAGGCTCATTCAATCATTCATAAACAAAATCAACTCGACGAATTCAAACAAAAATGGCACAGTGGTAACAGAAAACATGATTACAGCAGCTGAACATGAGTCAAGTTATTTTACTGACAAAATGTGTAGATTTGAATACAGAGAACCCGCTCAACTTCATAAAAAACGTTTCACATTGAAACGTTCGCATTGAAAGAAATTTAAGATAACCGTTCTCCTTTGCATTTTGTAGCGAATAATGTTTTGCGTTTAAAATGGCATATCTTCATTGTTTATCATCTCGCAAACGAAACAGAAAAAAAACTGTTATCCAAGCATCTTGTAAGACAAAGAAAGATGTCAACTCACCACGATGGGCGGAAGAACGAAAGCGAGGACGAAGACGATGGTTTCCGGTACGATGTCGACTCTCTCTGGGTAGCTGTAGTAGGCGATATCGATACATGGTATCGTGGCATCGTGTAATGTAAACGTCTGTGTCTGCCATTCCATGAAATACCTGGATAAATATTTTGGGTAAAGTGGTTAACTTTCTTTCTTTCTTTACCCAAACATTTCGGTATCATCTCTACAGATATTTTGTTGCTCAATTTTTTTCTTCCCTCCAGACAATCTTAGTAATATATTACCATTATGATTATGGAGCAATGTAGAATGTGAAATGGGTATTATTCCCCCCTATATTTTGGCCAAAATTTAATGTCTAAGAATGATAAATAATGGATTTATATCCAACATGCAGAAGTGTTTTGTTACGGAATGAATGAACCGAACTTAAGACTTATCTGTTCAATATGTAATGTAATCATATTTTGTTTGTTAAACTATAAAGCGTTATGTTAATATTAACTATTATTATTGTATGATTGTTATTAGGAATTTGTTATAATAATCATGTATCATGCATTATATTGTTGTAATTTGTAGGTTAACATTACTTTTATTTTATTTTTGTTAAGCGCTTAGAAACTTTGTACTAAGCGCTATATAAATGTAATTTATTATTATTATTATTATTATTATTATTATTATTATATTAATTTAGACAGGTTCACATTATAACATAGCGGACAAATTTTCAAATGATTTGCCTGAGCATCGATAGAAATCTAATGAATTTAATTCTCCAAGACTTTTAATGAAATTAGATTTCAATAATTGAATTCAATTATTGAGTTTGCTTGGGGTATTGTTATCATTACCTCAGTACATTGAGATTGAAATGAGGAGGGAAAGATGGAATAGAAAAGGGACAATGCAGGCACAAAACTAATAGGGATAATAGGAGAGAAAATGAGAGGAGTATGCAGAAGAGAGAGATTGACAGGAGGGAAGTAGATAGAGAGAGAGAGAGAGAGAGACAGACAGAGAGACATACAGAGATAGTGTGGGGAGGGAGGGCGGGAGAGAGAGAGAGATGGTGAGAAGGGAGAGAGAGAGGATGGGGAGGGAGAGAGTGATGGTGGAGAGGGAGGGATGGTGAGGGTGGGAGAGGGAGGGTGGGAGAGGGAGGGGAAGAGAGAGAGAGAGAGAGAGAGAGAGAGAGAGAGAGAGAGAGACATACAGAGATAGTGTGGGGAGGGAGGGCGGGAGAGAGAGAGAGAGAGATGGTGGGGAGGGAGAGAGAGAGGATGGGGAGGGAGAGAGTGATGGTGGAGAGGGAGGGATGGTGAGGGTGGGAGAGGGAGGGGAAGAGAGAGAGAGAGAGAGAGAGAGAGAGAGAGAGAGAGAGAGCCTATATTCAATCATGTACATCAAGCATGCTGGACCAAAGGCCACATCAGTTGCTCATTAGAAATTTACATCATAAAGCACTCACCATAATACCACTACAGCCGCCAATAGAATACAATCGAATAGAAAGAAGCAAGGGATAAGCCAGTTGTTAGAAGTCTCGTTGCCATGACGACCCGCCATTGTGTCGTTGGATGCTGGTAGCGTTCCGTTGCTAGGTAACGTTTGATCAGAGATCACGAGTACTGTTGCAAACAAGCAGGTGGAAAGCGCTGCTGATCTTTAGCGTTGATTTCTGTTCCGTCAATAACGCT